TTTAATTTATATATCTATAATTTATTTATATATATTACATATATTATATTATATATTATATTTATATATATTATTCATAATATATAAATTTTATATATGTATATAATAAAAAATTATTTTATTTTATTATTTTATTTTATACATAACAGATTTCTGCATGAAACAGAAAGAAAAACTTCCAGCCAATACACTGCATCTCTAACAATTTTCTTGGAACAGATAAAATAATAGTTACATAGTTATCTCATAACTAATAGAAAATTTTAACATTTTGTTCTTATTTTTATTTTATACACTTTTATGTCTTTCGTGTCTTTTCCTAAAAGAAACGTGTAATTACACGTTTTACTTTATCCTACATAATTTCATTTTTAACTATGTTCTGTCCCTTTAATTACATTAATTGATAAATGATGTTGCAATTGCACTTCTTAGATATGCAGATACATAAAGTTCGAAAGTATTCTAATAATTTGATTCAACCATATTAAACTCTTTTATCATACTGATTGTTTGATCAACTCAGCCACAAGTGTATACTTTTAAATGGAAACCAACGAGTGCGATTAGAAATCTCTCGTGACCAAGCATTGTAAAGAAAGCCGACTGATGACCAAACAGTGTACTATACAAGATTACGCAGACAGCACTGCTAATTAATGATATCGTCCAATATTATCCCAACGAACAGTATCTTCCCAACGTTGGCTGTTAACATTCGGCAAATGACGGATCGGTTTGACGAGAACACGTTGTATGGAATGGCTAATCAATGCCATTTACGAAATTAAATTTCACACGTTCACTTTAACAAATAGATCAAGACAGGAAAATTATCAGGCATCAGATTCGAATCGTCACGTTGCTGGAACTCCAGAGGCACTCTGCCATGCTACTCGCGACGCAGAGAAAGATTAATGAAACTAAATGTCCTTTGACCAAAGACAGGAAGTGAATGAAGTTCATTGAGACTCATTTCGCCGGTTCAATTCATATTAATGTAATCTCGGTAAGTGCTGAGAGATTATTCTTGTGCAAAAATATGATGAAATGGGGAAACATTAATGAAATTAAATGAATATTGATGAAAAAACACTGTGGAAGGAGTAGTCAAGAACAGCGAGAAATTTATTTATGTTCAGTGTTATTTGTTGTATTTTATGTAGAATTTTTTGTTTACTCTGGCTTGAGAAATTATGTGAAATTGTAGTACATATAATACTACATCAATATGAATTACTAAATATGTATTAATTACACAATACGAAAATGTAAGACAGAAATTAAGAAAATAAAATAATAACGTTAAAGATAGTTTTTCTTGCTTACATCTGTGAAAAATATAAGTGATTCGTGTAAAAATTTAGAAAGCTCAGTATACTGATGAATATAATTTAACAGTGTGATTAGTATTCATACTGCTCAATGAAGAGTAAATAAAAAAATAAAAAATTAATATAGATATTGAAAATTTTTTTTTTCCCCAGCATTCAATACACTGATCTTCGAGATCCCTCTAAAACTTGAAGTACAATTTTTATCCATCCGATTGATCCATCTTTAATAATAATAAAAAAGTGTGACACTGGAATAATCTATAAAAATAATTTCTATAATATTATTATGTTACAGAAATTATTCTATAATATTATTGTAAAAATAATTTCTAAATAATAATAGTTAATCATATAAAAATAATTTCTAAAAAATAATTACACGATTGGACTTGTATCTCTTATGTATCTTTGCGTTCGTTACACGATATAGAAATATTGCAAACAAAAGATTTACAGTGGATTCCGAAAGAAGAAGCTTCAGTCTAGTCAGAATGTCGCACACAAAGTTACAGTTGTTCAAAGATCGACAGTTTTTCAGTGACAATTTAGTGATCCTTTCTTCTGTGGAGTAGCGTACCTTCGAAACGAAAGTTTCTTTTCAGTTTCTATGCACTTACGTAATACCCAGTTGACTTGTAATTTCATTGCAAGAAAGTGATATTTCCCATTGAAGTATGGGAGTTTCATTCTTTAACGCCGAATGATCGGTGTACGGGGACACATTTCCCCGATATAAGCTACGCGATACCATATGCGCGTAAGAATGATATTATACGGCCGAACCACAGGAAGAATACGGTTCGCCATTACTTTAAACAAAATATGCGTTGCACAAATGATACAAGATTATCCCTCGGCGTACACAGTCGACGGAATTATGCCAACGAGAAAATTTCTCCATCCATGTGACAATAACGACATTTATTCCACGACAAGTATTCACACGTGAAATTTATAGACTTTGATTAAAAATTGAAGTTGATCAATACTGAAGTAATATTTTTTAGTTAAAAAATTGTAAAAATATTTGGACAAAATGTATTTCGTACATATGTTGAATGATATAAATAAGTGCGAATGTATGACGAATTGGAAAAAAAAAATTGCGAAATGAAATTTATTGAAAAATATGGTACAATTGGATTAAATTACTTTTATGATTACATTAAAAATTTATTACAAGAAATATTTTATCAGTGACTACGAATTATTATAATACGAATAAATATATGAAATATTCTTTATATTATAAAAATATATGAAATATTCTTTATATTATAAAAATATATGAAATATACTTTATATTATATATTTATAAAAATATTTATAATTAATTTTACAATTAATTTTCTATCTAAATTAATAAATTAAGAAGTTAATTAGTTTCTATTTTTGTCTTAAGAACGAAAAAAATTCCCAAAAAATGTTACCAAATGTTACACAATTGCTGAACAACAAAAATAAATATTCTATTTCAACACAAATTTGAGGAAAAAATTTACACACGAGAAATATATTGTGTGCAATTTTTTTAGTCAATTTCTGTATTGTCACTGTCTTTTTTTTTTTTATTTTTATTGTGCCCTCAAAATATTGTAAATTTTCGATTTCATTAAAAGCTTAATCTACAATTTCTCTAAAATTTTCCCGAAAGCGTTTCTTAAGTCAAATTTCTCAAAAATATAAATTCGTACGTATGTATGTATACACAAAGATATTTCCAAGAAAGAGTCAATGTGTCAATACTTTTCTGTATATACATAGCTGAGCAAATTAATTATGCAGCATGAGAACCAAATGTCACAAATGACAGAAAGGGCAACATTTCGTCGGTGTAATTTCAAATAAATTTTCATCCCTTCCTCGTATTGATTCGACAGATCTGTCGTGACAGGAGAGCATTTTTCGCGCGAGTATTCTCGAGAGACTCATCACGCGGTCCAGCCACGGAATAAAGAGAACAGGAAATAGAGAGCGATATAGATTAAAACGCGACCAAGTCAAAACGGTCCCGGGACGGTCATCTCTTTTCCGAGACCGCGATACCGTTGAAAAGCTCTCGAAAGAAGCTTTCAGTTTTATCATAATTGCATCTTGCGACCCGATCTTCTTCGAGCCGGCAAGAACCACCGGCTTGACGAAAGCTCAACCGTACGAACGAGAAAAATTAATAGATGGCTCGGCTGTTAGATCATCCCCACAGTTGAATAAATATAGGGTGGTCACTGAAAGACTGAATGATAGAAAACAAACATAACTTTTACAAACACATGATTTCAAAATTTTTCTGTCATTTTATTTGGAAATATAATTAATGGATATTTTTCAGTATTTTGTTTTCTATAATCTATGGAAAAAGGAAATAAAAAAGATTGAAAATGACCAAGTTATAATAACTATAACTATATAAATATAATAACTTATATATAACTATATAAATATAATAACTTATATATATAACTTATATAATAACTTATATATATAAATATATAGCATAGCATAAAAGTATAGTATAGGTTAAATTGTTAAGTATGGCACAAAAGTATAGGGTAGGTAGAGCATATAACAGATATGAAGAGTGAAGAGCAAAAGTGAGAGAAACAGAGAGAATGGAAAAAAAAAGAAATGTAAACCAAGTCCACTTTCATGGCTGTGAAGCCGAAAAACAAAATTATCTATCTATCTATATAAATATATAACTCTATCTATCTATATATATAATAACTATATATATATAACTTTTTCAAACCCTTCAGTTTTTCAATGGCCCTCCTATAGATGCATAAATGAGATTGTAGGAACAACAGATAACGAAGAGATGGGTATTAAAAATACAAGATATTGAAGAAACATGTTCTCATTGTCCTTACAAATATTCTAATATTTAAACAGAATATTTTACTCTACTAATACAGTCAATCCTCCTGTAACACAGCATTCTGGAAACACGGTTTCCACACGTAACACAGTGCAAAAATTGTGACAGCCCTTTTATAATATGATATTCTGATAACACGATTTGATAGACCTCGTTAACGACTAGTTAATCGAACATTTGTGAGATTATCTGGAACGAGCAATTCGAATACATACAATTTCATCTAAAACGGAGTTAAAAAATGCTTTAATCAACGAATGGAATGACATCAGTAATAAAGTCACATCTGATTTGATTAATTCAATACCTAGAAGGCTAGCTGCAATAATAAAATCAAAGGGAAATCCTATTAAATACTAATTATAAATATTAATTTTACAATTATTTGTTGTTTCCATTGTAAATTACTATTTAAATTACAATTATTTGTTGTTTCTATTATAATGTTTCTATTACTATTTAAATATCTTTTACTATTTGTTTCTATTACTATTTAAATTACAATTATTTGCTGTTTCTATTATAAATTTCTATTTAAATTACTTGCACACTTGATAATGACAGTAGAACTGTACTTATATACTTATTACGCGTTCATTTTGTTCATTTTTCCTGCTATTTATATAAACAATATGAATATTCTTTTATTTGATATTGTTGTTCTACAGACTTCGGAGGATAAATGTACCATGTTTGTTTAAAAAGATACTGTCCAATAAATATTATTATTCAGCATTTCAGTCGTGATTAGTCACTAATACGAATACTTTTTACACCCACTGTGTGTAATTAATAGGTGTGATTAAATGACGCTTCTATTAATACCGAACTCGTCGCTCTGTTCCAGATCCGGAGGATAATTTCAGCGGCAACAATCGTCGCTAACAGAAACGTCAGTTACCTGAAATGGAGAGGCAAAAGCTCCCTTTTGCTCTGCCACGGAGGGTCCCCGAAGGGACAACTGGCCCGTCATTTCTATTACCGTTGATGTTAATCCATGGCCAGAAACCATCAGCAAACATTATTTCGATTCGATCGTTCGTTGTAACGTACGATCGTCGAAAGCCAACGCGTAACACGAGTCGAAACGCTCTAAGAAACGCGTCAGCCGAATTGATTAGCCGATGGATCGGTCGTTCCGTGTTTAGAATCGTGCCAACTAGGAACCGATTTGACCGAAGTTTGGTAATAGAGTCCGTGCAACGAGCACCGGACTAATCCCGCCATTGTCGCGGTTAATTTATACCCGAAAGACGACTGGATGGCAACGTGTGTTGGCATGTACACAAGCTTGTCGATCGGGAACACGCGTACTCGACGAGCTAATGCGACCACAGGCATCGATCATCAATACATTTTCGTTGATGGAGCCCCGCCGATTGGCACGTACCACCGAAATGTTCTTCAGTATCGATCGATGATTAATCGGTGATTCGTTTCTAGCCGACTGCTTTATTTAGACAATTGAACTGCTGTCCGGAAACTTTCTCGTTGAAAGTCAGTGGAAAATGAAATTGAATTGTTTTTGGCAAATTGCTGAGTTTTTGGGAAAACGATATACTGATAGGAGAGTTATTTAATATGATAATATTTAATAATGGAGTAATATTTAATAATATAATAATATTTAATACTAGAGTAATATTTAATAATATAATAATATTTAATAATAGAGTAATATTTAATAATATAATAATATTTAACAATATAGTAATACTTAATAATATAGTAATATTTAATAATACAGTAATACTTAATAATATAGTAATATTTAATAATACAGTAATACTTAATAATATAGTAATATTTAATAACATGTTAATATTTAATAATATAGTAATATTTAATATATTATTCAAAAGAATATTTTAAGAGCTGGACTTTTCTCATTTATTTAATTTTCATCTTTTTATTTTTTGAGTAGCTTTACTTTTTGGACGGAACAAACTTCTTCATAAGTTCCTCTACTAAATAAAAATATTATAATAGTAACTTTGATTTTTAAATATGTCTGTATAATATAATATATTTGTATGGCACAAGTCACTTTTAATTCAGCTTCTGTGCTCGTACTTGTTAATTATATGTGCACGTATAAGTAATTAATTAGTTCAACAATTAATTAAAGTTTCGGTACCATGAAGAAAGAATAACATTATGAATAAAATATTTATTTACTTGAAGAAACTGTATCAAATATTAACTAAATATTGACAAAAATCTTAAACAATATTATTAATTCAAATCCAAATATTTGAATTATTAACATTTATTATTTATTCGATTAATCCCTCAAATATCTTGTTTGTCAAATTATTGAATAAGAACTGGCACAGGCTTTTCGCATATCTGATATCAGTCTGATTGATTGTAAAATCAAATACACTATTGGTGATGGTATTTTTTGGCTTTTGTTAAGAAAGGTGGCCGCTATTGGAATTTTATCAACCGTGTAACGACAAAAAGACCAAGAATATGCTAGGAGTGAGAAAGCAAAGGAGCGCCGAGGAAAAAGGAATAAGCAAATCGAATAACGCAGACGGAAAAGGTTCGAAACAGATAAGATGTGCAAAGGTGTTCGGCGTTCTATCACCGGTGCGCGTTCAGCTATCTGAAAAAAGGAAGCAGGGGGGAAAAAAAAGAAAGAAAAAGGGAAAAGAAAAAACACACACACACACACACACGGACACTGTGCAGGGAAAGACTGAAATATGCATGAAGGGATAAGATACAAAAGGCAACGTTTTCGACGTCTCGCCTCGAAGAGCCTTTGCGCGTTTGCGAATCGCTTTGGAAATTTGTTTCGAACGCTTGAGAAGCACGAACTGAAAGAAATTTTTGTTCCAAATAATGTTACAAATAATGTTATTTGTCTCGAATAATGTTATAAAAATATTTTGCAGCACAATGTTATAAAACAAATTGTCACGACGATTTTAATGTTAACATCTATAATATAGTATAATGTCTATAACATTCGTAAAAATATGAATAGGAAAAATAAGAAAGTATTGTTATACTGTAGATGACTGTGATAAATTTTAAAAATTGCATAAATATTGTATAAATTTTATAAATTTAAAAAATTGTAAAAATATTTTATTACAGTACCGAAACTTTACAAATGTACGAGAAATATTTAATTTTATCAAAATATGCACAATGTTTAATTATTAAACAGATAATACTTATATTATGGAAACCTACCCTGAGAAACTGTCAGATAATTTTTAACTTTCAGATAAAAATTAACTTTCAGATAATTTTTGAAATTTTTTTCAAGTATACCAGAAATAAGTGAACTTATTACTCGACCCAACATTTCAGAATATTTACAAAAGACAAATAATACCTGATTGATTACTGTTGAAAATATTTATCATACATAGGAGATTTTACACTGTTGCTCAAAAATATGGAGATACGTACGTATCTATTTTTTTGGAATCTATAATATATGTAAGCAGATATTAGTGCGTAACATTAGAGCAAAACGATGTATTCACTGTTAAATTTTTCTGCAAATATAAACAAGTGACTGTTATAAAGTGACCAATTGAGTTTCCTTCAAACTGAAAAAATCGTTCAAACGAAAAATATTCTGTTTCAAAAGGGAAATATTTTAATGTATACTATTCTAATATTTTGTAAGTGGAGAGGTCTAGGTCAACTCACTCTTTTTTTTTTAAATGAAATTGACGTTAGGTCATAAAGAGTCAAAAGCTATCAACTAAATAATTAAATAATTCAAATTTCTTAAGTTAAAAAAGTTTAATGACAATTGTGTGAAACTGTTCTATCTATAGTATAGCATAGAGGGTATATTTTTACCACAGTGTCGTTATAATAAAAACATGATTCACTGAAAACGAACGATAGTTTAAAAAGACTGGCCCGACATTCAATAAATTATTAATAAAACATACTTCCCAACACGATAAACGAAAGTTTTATTTTCGAAATATTTCATTTGCTTTTAGACAATTTTGCTATAAAAATTAAAAATTTACATACTTTTGCACCGCACATACATCTATTAACGAGAAATTAAATTGCCTCGATGAATACTGAAACGAAATTACTATTTGGCCTTTCATCGGCTACCGTTCATAATAAATTCCGTCACAGACGCGAACAATGTCGCTGAACGAGGATACTAACATGACTTAGAAATACTACTTCACGACGGGCACGTGATATATATCGAAGACGTTGGTGATCGAACCGATATGCTCGTAATACCAAGATCCAACTAACATAAATTCGATCGACTTAACGTGACAACGGTGGCCAGCAACTTCCGCTCTCCCTTATAACCTTGCTTCCACCGCCATTTTGGTCACACATGTTCTCGCGCGCCACATACCGCTTCCGGCAAACTTGCGAGGTTCTGCGGCGAGCGTGGCGCAATTTCGTGAAAGCGATATCGTCGAAACTTTCGATGGGCGTTATCGTCGTTCTCATCGTTCGATGGCTAAATCGTATCCTCGACGATGCTTCTTTCATCGCGACGAACGTCTCTCCGCGTGTTTCAAGGCAGAAAGTTTTTCGAGGAAGAAGGAATATTTCTTTCAAACTGCGAACGTTTCATTGATTTTGAAAACGAAGTTGTAAAAGAAACATTTTATTTTTCTTCGTTCGATATGAATTTACAGTGGATGAAGAAAGAATAATTGTATTGAAGAAAAGGAACCACCTGATCTTGAAGCATGTTGTCAAGGTCAATCATTTCGAGGAACTTCCTTCTGTATTTTTTAATTTTTATATTCGTATTTAAATAGTATAATTTCATCATAATTTCATTTATATTATTTAAATATTCACGAAAATATATACATAGATATATTCAATGCTAAGTGTTTGTTAAGATTTGTTATAATCTCATTGTTTCATTTTATACATTTTTAAACGTTGTTGACAATGTACTGTGAAATGTTCTTGCACACTTTGGGAAAATATGTCGAATATAAATTCAATAAAAATGTTTCATTAAACAAAACTTTTAATTCAAAATTGATAAATACGAATATGATAATACTTAGTAGTGTTGAAATATGTGTGTGTGTGTGTGTGCGCGCGCGCGCGCGCGTGTGTGTGAAATAATATAGTTGTGTCTTTTAGTATAGTAGTCATGAAAACATTTTCCCTTATAAGAAGATACTAATCAGAATTTGCAAATGTATCGTGTTTCTCTTATTCTTACGTCGTTTATCAAAGAAAAAAACCACTGTCACTATTAAAACTACTGTAATTTTTATTATCAAAAAATTCTTCAAAATATTCTTGATTCAATTTCAATTTCAAAATTCAATTTCTTCGAATCGATGATCCATTTCTGACTAATTACTCGAAATTAAAATGCTCTGTGGAGTAAACACGAATTTAATATTATTAATATATTAATATATTTAAATATTATTAATATAATTATTATTATTAATATTTAATAATATTATTAATATATTTAATAATATTATATAATATTATTAATATATTTAATAATATTATATAATATTACTAATATATTTAAATATTATTATTATTATTCATACAAAAAAAAAGTTTGAAAAATGCAAGATATCGATTTAAAAAATGAAACACGTCTCACATCTTCAACGTGACGATAGAAATCGAAAACTTGATTGATTTCAAATTGATTATTTCATGAATTGATGTAAATTTTTATGACCACACGTAACTACCTTAACGTATTAATTATATAGTTCCGTCTTAATACATTGTGAATCTACGTTATTATTTTGTCCCGAATGTGCCATCACATTAATTACCGGTAAATTCAGTTCTATGATTCTGTGTTTGAATGTCACTGTGGAAATTTCAGTTTAATCGCTAACACTCGGTAGGATAATTAATTTATTTTATATATCTCAATTGGATTTTATGCGTGCTGGATTTCATCGTCACCGTTTCTCGTATATTTTCATTAATCAAACAATCAAATTGTAAGATTTGCAGGTTTGACATATTATTCGAGTTATTAGAATTATTAGTAATGTAGTACAAATTAATTTAATAATCTGATAACTGGTAAATGAAAAAGAAAATGGACAATAATTGAAAAAAAAAGTTTCATTGATCAACTCAGTATAATAAACCAAACAGCTAAACAATTAATGCCGATTCGTAATTATGAGATCGAAATAATTATTATAATTGATTTTATTTTATTTATATAGAGTAAATATGCCAGTTAGTTTATATTATACTAACAACGAATCAGAGTTAAATTTGACAATATATATATATGTGATCTAGTTTGAACCTTATTGCTGAAAATCACACGATAAATTTCTTATCTTTTATTAAATTTAAAATGTTGTGATTAGACCACAGATTGTTATGCATAAGTGCAAAAATGCATATAATGCGTATAATATGTAAAAATGTCCAATATCCAGAGAAAAAAGCACCCAAAAGAAAAATGTAAAACATCCAAAGAAGGAATATTAATTGCAATAATTTGTAGAAAAGATAATTTACTATTTAAATTACATTTCTTTAATTATGTTCATGAAAATTTTAAAATGCATAAAAATGCTAATTAACTGTCTAATTGTGATCTGTCAAGTATTTTGTGTATTTAAGATCATAAGCAATTTTTGCTATTATTAAATTTTAATCAGAACTCTATAGTCTATTTGATTACATTCTTTTGTTTCTCAAGTCGAAATACAAATTGAATGTTGAAACGTACAAGAAGAAATTAAAATTCATTGAACAGCGTAATTCCTCAACATATTTCATTCGCCCAACAATTACACGATTAAAAATCTGTTTAAAAAGACCGTCAATACGAATCTTCCATTATAATTGCTCTACGTTTCATCGCGTAGCCATCACTTTCTATAAATAGCTGAGTACCACGTAGCCTCACAGAGTATTCAAAGTTATTTAACATCGATGTTGTGTTGTCGTTGAATGTGTTTTGTTTCTGTAAAAGTCAGTTTTGTTTCTTGTAAAAGGAAAAGCAAAATAACAATATTAAGAGACAAAGAAAAAAGTAACGACGTGAAATTTGATTATCTTCAGTTTCCTTTGGTTAAAGCTTAATGAGATATATAATATTATTATAATATTATTATATATTATTATAATATGTATAATATTATTACAATATATACATATTATTATATATAATATATAATACATTATATATAATAATATATTATATATTATTATAATAATAATATTATTATTATATTATTAGATATTATATTATTATAATAATATTATTATAATATTATTATAACATTATTATATGTATAATATTATTATTATTATATTATTATAATATGTATAATATTTGACGGAATTATGTTTTACAGAAAATTATATCAATTTTTTAATTCCCATATATCGGTTGTTAACCATATTAGAGTCAAATGTACAAATTTTGTTGTTACAATTTTTAACATCATTTTACTATTTTGGAATATCCTATCTGTCAATAGAAAGGCACATAATAAAATAATAATAATAAAGAATCCTATATATAAAATGATAGTTTTCAGTTTTTATTAATTTCCGAGATATTAATATAAATCTTTCGATACAACACATTGAACTCTGCCATGATTAGTACAATGGTGTCCTATGTAAACTCGGTTCACGACGTTAGAAAAATATAAAACACAAATCTAATTCCAATTTCTGTCTTTCTAGCAAGTAACGTGAGAAAGAAATTAGAGTCAGTGAACGTGTCTGACCATAATTGTGTTACAAATCAGACAGATTTTTTTGTACATAATTCGAAAATTAAAAGAAACTGTCCATTGTAGTATATTATATATAATAGGGACAAGCTGTTGAGAATGATGACAATGTATGTCAAGAACGTTAAGATGGGTGAGAAAATAAGTTTTCTGAAACTTTTCCAATCGAAATTCCATACGTACGTGCAAGCGCTTTCGGACTGAAATAATTCAACTAAAATTTTTATTTGCAACACTGATAGGACTAGCGACAACTGATTTACATTATAGTATATGGGACATTACAATTTTCAGAGTCGAATTATTATATATCAGCAGTAGAGATATCAATGGGGATCGTGGGAAACTTGAAGTATTTCATAGGATCGCAAGCGGAAAACGGAATTCTTTCGCACGTCGGGAATGGAGGCACTTCGCATACGCATTTCATGCAATATGATTCATAATCGCCGGTCCCTTCACTCAACTCGTCGCCTAACTGCATCGTCAAATTACCAAATCGACAAGTCTGTTGTTCTGTAATATAAATATCATAAAATATAATTATTTATAATAATTATTTACATATATATACCCACAAGTAAGCACTTCTATCTGCGTAATGTTATTAGTAATTATTGAAAATGATTATTATTAATAGTTATAAATTAACTGTCATTAGTAATTATTGATTGATTATTAGTTGATTGATTATTAGTTAATTGTGAGTTATTTTTGTCGTAATTAGTCAGGCTTGCGATTATACAGAGTATAATATATTATGAAGGAAATAAATAACAGAACTTTGGTATTGCTGCTGTCCCTAAGGAAGAAAATAATCGTATAAACGTAGGTATGAAAGGTCCTTCCTTCTCAAAACATAGACATTCTTCTGATTTGAATCCTTTGGATGTTTACTTGTGGAAACGTTTAATTTAATTTTATTAACAACACTATTAATAGAACTGAAAATATTCCAAGATTGTGAATTACTGTCTCGTACAAAAGAAATTGCCAGAGATTTTCAAACGTTATTTTTACAAGTACTTTATCACAATGGAAGAGTATCTATATATATATCTCGTTCATACAGATTTTTCTTTCTCAGGGAGAGTAGAGAATGTGGTACCAAAGGTTGGTTGCCTATTTTTTTGACATAAGTATAAAGATTCTTCATCACATGTCTCTCTATGTTTATAACTAATTGTTTAGTGGCTTCAGATTAGATAATATTAATATATATATATATATAAAATGAAAAGATCATTAAATATATATATATATTAAAAAAATATATAAATATATAGCATGAAAATATATAAATATATCATAGAATATCATTAAAAAATTACTAAAGTGTAGTATTTTCTATAAATATTTGATAAAACAATTGTTTATCACATGTTTTGTAATAATGTCTTTTGTAACCGAAATTACTATGGATTAGATACTGAAGCCTTCTAGCAATAACAAAATCTGACGTACGGTATTGTCACTGTTTCATTAAACTTTGAATACTTGGCTTGAGTAAGAAAATATTCTCTCAAATTAATTTAACAAAGCAAAAGTCGTACGTCAGATTTTACAAAGTGTAAGACTTTAATTTTCAGTTTATAACAATTTCAGTTACGAAACAAATCTTTCAATGTTCTTAGAGACGTTTGAATTTTCAGGATTCTCTAGAAAAGAATTTTATTCCCTATTTGTTGCAAGATGAGAAAATATAATTAGAAAAAAATGAAACTGTGAAAATAAGCTTTAAAATAAGCTCGTCCCCATTTCCAAAAAATTGAATATCATCATCCTACAGTTCTGTACATTCCAAAAAATATAAATCTGTATAAAATCCGCAGTCTATGATTAATTTAATTGCATGTAGAATTGTCAATATGTTAATGCAATCACGAGTGAGGTAACATGTTAGTGCAAAGTCGAAGAATTTCAATTAACTATGCAGGAAGAATTATATTGCAGAATAAATAATGAAGTATCTTCAACGATACAAACGTACCTTCAGGAAGGTTCCCTCTGGGCTTATCAGTACTTTTGCTAGAAATAACTTCGTCGTCAGCGGATTCTGCAGAACGAGGACAATTTTATGAAATGATATCTCCTCTGTGGACTTTGGTTATTGCATATTTTCGTAGTTAAGACGAAGCAATTTATACGCGATATTTCTTTTGTGAACTTACGGCATCGGTAAGCGTAGCTGCAATCTGATTGTGGCTCCTGATGATCGTAATATACAGGTACACAGTTTCGATGAACTTTATCAGCATTTCGGAACAGAGGGTCGCAATAAGAACGCTTGCGTTTCTGACAGAATGGCTCGGTATTATTACCTAAACACGGAATTTTCGAATTGAAGTCGTCATTTACGAATCAAGTTCTGTTGGTCGAAATTGAAGAGATTGTAACGTTAAGGAGAATGAAGTCGAATTTCCTCTATTTTTTAAAGCCTGAATAATCAAAAATGAGGGATAGAAATTTTTTTTTGTTAAAAGAGATAAAAATGGAACACCAACTAAAGTCAAAACGTGCCTATAAAATGTTTTTTTCTTTCAATTACCTGAAACACAGATTTTCGTGACTCGAGTAGCTTGTTCGTTTTTGAATATTTAATATTTGACGTTTCGATTTTCGTGATTTTACTAATGGCTGCAAATTTTTCACACAAATTATATTATTATTTATAATTTACGAATTTATTTTTTATTCATTAACAGCATCTGTTATAAAATATCAAAGAAAATAAAATAAAAATACATAATACTGACAAACATGAATAACTAATGTCAAAAAGTAAAATATCAAATAAAATAAAATAAAAATACATAATACTGATAAACATGAATAACTAACGCCAAAAAGTAAAATACCAAATAAAATAAAATAAAAATACATAATACTGACAAACATGTATAACTAATGCCACAAAGTAAAATATCAAATAAAATAAAACAAATAAACTAGTACACGCAAAATGTTTCCTTTTATATCTTGGAAATTTGTAGATGTTTTATCTTTTATAACTGACTGTATGATTGAATCTGTTTTAGAAGAGAACGTAAAGAAATTTACAATTTAGGCTCAAATGGAAGTCAAATTGTTATCTCACAGAAATCATATTCGTTTTGTACCTGTGTATCCAGGCATGCAGATACAATTTAGCCCCGGATCAGATTTTGGAGTAAAGGAGTTTCCGTCGTAGTAGGTTACACCATCAACTTCGCAAGTCGCTCTTTCTTCTCCGTCCTTGACTACAGAACATAGTCACACATTTTTAAACTTGACCGTTTTACACGGTTTCATAATATTCTATATTGCTGTGTTACTCATATTGCTTGAAGCATCGTATTTCAACTGCTTTGAAAGGTATTAAAGATTTATTGTTTCAAACTGTTGAGATGATTGGAAAACATTGGAAAAAATTTTGATTCCTACTTGAAAATTTTCTTCTCACAATATTTGTGTAATACATAGTATCTCATATATGCATTACATAATATGTATAATACATATCGAAGAATAAATAAAATTTTTTCCTATTAAATACAATATTTCCCATTAAAAACAATAATTTTATAAAATAAAAGATTCCCTCTATAAAAATACAAATGAATTGAAACTTCAAATTTCTAAATTATGAGACTTGAGAAAAATTTTAGATAAATATGACACTGTATCATGTATAGTAACTGTCATTATATTAATTACAATTCAATGCTGCATTCTCAAGAATTCTAAACAAATCGCAAATTATATTGGTTCAATGTAATTGTGCAGCATATTAGATCATGTTGTTCTAAAAGACAAAAGAACAACCTTTTGAGAGAAAGTACAGTAGAACTTTGTTTATCTGAGCTTATTGAACGACAAACTGTTTACACAATTAATGTTTTTTTTTTGTGTAAAGAAGAATTTATCAATTTTTCATACCATCTATTATTTTTCTATCATTAATTCTTCTTAAAAAGTTTAGTGATTTCTTCAGGCCAAAAAATACTTCAACAATGCTAAATTTCGTAATTAAATATAAACAAAATCAACCTATGATCATTTACTGCTAAACTATAAAAATTATTATTAAACCCATCTGATTATTACAACTGATACAATTTCAAACTCATCGTTAAACATTAAACGTTCCTGAAGAATTAGAAGAACATTAACTAAAACATCAAGTTCAATTAAATAGAATTCTACAGTACCAAGAGAACGTAGTTTTGTAATGCACAACTTGAAATTTTAAACAATTCATAGACAAAAGTATTCGGAATTTTCGAATAAGAGAAAAACCATGTTTCTGATATTTCATTGTCAATAGACCCAAATGTTGATGCAGAAAATTGTCAAGTAATTTTAATATTTAAGAACACTACATTTTAAAGTTATTTTAATATTTAAGAACACTATATTTTTTAGCTATTAAATTAGCTAACTTTTTTAATATAAATAAATAGATACTATTGCTATGGGAGATTTTGCTGCATTACTATAATTTTTAATAACAAATTACTTACAGAAGGAAGTTCTTTTTGAATCTGAACGATAATGACCACGAGATGAATTACACTTTAAGAAATTTGAATTATACTAATTTCTATATTTTAATAATTTTATATCTTTACTTCAGTCTTTAATTATCAGAAATTAACGTTTGTTAAAAAGATATGTTTCAGAATCTTAGCTTAATTTTAATCTCAATTCAATTAATTTACTTACGACAAATCTGCGATATATCCGGACAGCAACTATCATGCTTGTATCTGGTGAAACAATTTATTTTCGGCGCAAGGAATGCACAATCTACGGCCGCACAGATAAAGCTCGCACTATTCACAAAATAAGATAGTATATCATATTGCTATAAAACTTTCCGGAAATTTTAAAGTGGCAGTAGACACAATTACAAAAATATGGAAAAACATAAGATTGTGTTTGACGACGTATCGAATTAAAATAAAAAAATGTGACTTATCGTTGTTGTTTTATTGTTGTTATAACATGGACAAAGAAAACTAATTTTCTATTTCAGTTCATAAAAACAGATTTGCAAAAATATTCGCTCTATGCCTATGTCTATTTACGCTAATATCAAACGATCCACTTACAATGATCACTAATTTTATTTGCTTTATTTACTTTAGGTTTGTAGTTCGATTAAATTTAAAAATCATAGTCAAACAAAGGTTTCTTAAAACTTGGTTCTCCTGAATCTTACGTATGTGTATATTCTGTGTTCACATATCTTTCACTAATATTTTACTTACTAATATCTTACTACCACAATTTCAGAAAAATCCATTAATTTACTAATTATTTATCAATTTATTTATTATTATATATTATATTTAATATTTATGCTATATTTAATACAATAATATAAAATATAATATTATATACTGTATTTAATATTTATACAATATTTAATACAATAATATATAATATAACATTGCATACTGTATTTAATATTTATACAATATTTAATACAATAATATATAATATAATATTGTATACTATATTTGATATTTATACAATATTAAATACAATAATATATAATATAATATTGTATACTGTATTTAATATTTATACAATATTTAATACAATAATATATAATATAATATTGTACACTGTATTTAATATTTATACAATATTTATACAATATTTAATACAATAATATATAACAATATTATATACTGTATTTAATATTTATACAATATTTAATACAATAATATATAACATAATATTATATATTGTATTTAATATTTATACAATATTTAATACAATAATATATAACATAATATTATATACTGTATTTAATATTTATACAATATTTTATACAATAATATATAGTATAATGTTATATACTATATTTAATACAATAATATATATTATAAATAATATTTACATAATATTTAATACATTAATATATAATATAATATTGTATATTTAATATTTACTAGATTACATATATCATATATCAATAAATTTGTCAATTCATCAATTATTTAATTACGAAATTGTTAATTATATTTCCTTTTCTCGTAAATGAAGCAACTTTTCATTAAAGATCGTGCTGTTCGCCGAGATCAGTGGAGCAATTTCCACGCTTCAGTCTCGTTGAAATTACCAGTCAAATGGTTTCAATTCAGTGAAATTCATCCGATCGACTGTCATAGTTCGTCTCGTCGAAACGTTACAATGCAAATATACATACTTACGTATCATCGAATGATACACATCTACAACCAATGTCGCAAGGATTGGATTCCTCAGGCTTTAGTAACTCGCCGACGTTGTACTCGTGTCCGTTAACGTAACACTTATCCCGTGACAAATTGTCCAGGTGACTGCAGTCAAACGCTTCCGGGCAACATTTGCCGTCAGGTGGATGAATGGGAATGCAGCCGAGCTCATCGTAGTATCTCAGTGGGCCAGGACACTTTGTTCTGTCGCAGATCTCTTTCGGAAACGAGACATGACGAAAGTGAGTGAGCGAAACGAGCGCGGGGAACTCGTCGAGCCGCGTAGGTGGAAAGAAGTAGCGAAACAAGCGGTAAACGAGACCTTGGATTACAATTCGCGTTTTGAATATACGTATGTACATATGTACATGTGTAGAATGGTGCACACATTCAGCTGCAAAAGTTTACACGTGTCTGTTAAATTTCGTACATTTAGAGAGGAACGAAGATTTCAAATTTCTGAGCGAAAAACTTTTGGGTTGTTCATTGATTAACTTATTCCAAGATGGTGATGGTATCTAGCCAGTGATAATACAAAATGTTGAGAACTTATTAATTTATGTTATTAATAAATATATTTAGAATCCATATTCTGATTTATTGTTAATAATAATATTTATGTACTATTAACAGTGTTATTGATAATAATAAAATTTCTAATATAATGTTAATAATATGTACGAACTTGTATGTTATTAAAATAATCGATTGGCTATGATAATCGTGAAAGATTAAATCTAGAATTATAATTCACGTTTTCTGATTACAATTGAGAAAAAATTGTGAGAAAATGCTGAAGATCATTTCAATATTATGTAATATCTTGGATTATATAGCTATCATTAAAACATTAAGATCATTAAATCATTGAGACATTTTTAATATATTAACATATAAGTTGTGGTTTAATATATTAACATATATTAATATATTAAAATCGTAAGTTTAATATAATAACATATATTAATATATTAAAATGGTAAGTTTAATATAGTAACATATAAGTTGTATATTAAAATGTAACATATAAGTTATAAGTAAAGTGGAATCTACTTGCATTTTATTAACATCCATAACTCATAATAAAGACATTGAATATGATTGATTTCAATTTAGTTGAGGTAATTAAAGTGATATTTAATAATAATATCTATATTCAGATAATTTAAATATTTAAAATTTAATATAATATTAAATATGTAAAATTTAATATAATATTAAATATATAAAATTTAATAATAACATCTATATTCAGACATTTAGGCAGATCCACGTTGACCTCGTCCTTGAAAGACGAAGAATTATTAAAAACGATTCAATTTTGAGACTATTCTAAATTCTACACTTTATGTATCTAACTACTACATTATCAAGATTTAATTATTCCTTTGTTGTGAATAATAACGATTCTCACGTTTGCAACGACCTTAAACGAGTATCAATAATTTGCATTACAGTTTTAACACACTTGCCTTTTAAAATAATAATGTATGTTGCACATGATGCATTTCATTAATAGACTGTGGATTTTTATGCTACATAGGAAAAATTTAGAAAATTTGAGGACTATTTAAATTTTTTAAATTAAAATTAATATTTTAAAAATATACACTGTATGAACATAACACACACAATAAAAAATTCGAAGTACAGTATGCAAATTTTAATACACAAAACAATTACTTATCCGCCAATTTTTTTTTTTTTTTTCTTAACTGTACTCATAAAAACAAGCAATCTGCATAAAAATCCACAGTCGTTGCTCAACACAATTTCAAATTATTTTTCACAAACGATTCCACGATACTGCAACAAGTAATTCACAGAAATGCTTCCCGATCTTATTGAATCTCTCATTCAAATCACACCGGATGGCTATCAAACGATGTCTTACCTTCTGCTGTTACTTGAACGACGACCAATAATGTAATCAGAGCACATTTCTGAAGAATCGAGCGAGAATTATCGTGTCCCGCCATCGTCGAACCGTGAACTACGCACGTGTGTATTCCTTGGTCGTGATTCCTTTCCATCTTTTATACTTCTGACCGTGGACGAATACCGAGAATAGATCGGACCGTGGAAGGAAGTGGGGATTTCCCATTGTCGATAACTCTTCTCCATAACATACACGAACATAGGAGGAAATGCGATGCGTAGAATAGTAAAAAGAATATTGTATGTACGGAGCGTATGTGAAAAATCATGACCTTGGCCAAGGTCACTTTTACGGCAACTCTTCTAGACAAATCACGTGATATGGCTATGATGGCAGTGACATTTATTTTTTTGATATATTATTATATTATTACTATATTATATTTTATATATTCTACTACTTACTATGTTTTATATATTACTATATATTATATATTTTATTACTTATTATATTTTATATATTTCATATTATTATATTATATATTATTCTATTTTATACATTTTACTACTTGTTATATTTTATGTATTATATTTTATATATTTCATAATATTATGCTATATATTATTATATTTTACATATATCATAATTATATTATTATATTTTATATATTTTACTGCTTATTATGTTTTATATATTATATTTTTTATTTTACATTTTATTACTTATTTTATATTATTATATTATATTTTATTACTTATTACCTATTTTACTACTTATTATATTTTATATATTTCATAATATTATGCTATATATTATTATATTTTACATATATCATAATTATATTATTATATTTTATATATTTTACTGCTTATTATGTTTTATATATTATATTTTTTATTTTACATTTTATTACTTATTTTATATTATTATATTATATTTTATTACTTATTACCTATTTTACTACTTATTATATTTTATATATTTCATAATATTATGCTATATATTATTATATTTTACATATATCATAATTATATTATTATATTTTGTATATTTTATTGCTTATTGTGTTTTATACATTATATTTTTTATTTTACATCTTATTACTTATTTTATATTATTATATTATATCTTATTACTTATTACCTATTTTAACATCACATTCATATCAACATCATAGCAGCAAAAATCACATTTTCTACCAATCTCCAGTGAAAATAGTTTTCCAAGAGAAGCATTATAGTGTTAATAAATATAAAATTAAATTAACAGAAATTGAAATTTAGTAGAACAAATTGTCATAGATATTACTTAGATTATTTAAAGCATTAAATAAAATTTTTCGAAAATTGTAAATGTAATTTAACATAGTGTTTGCAAGATATTTGACAGAAAATGATTGAAAAGGACACGTGCAGAATATCATTAAAAGAAAAAAATTGAATAAAATCTGATAATGAAACTATGAATGTAACATAAACTATATAAATTTGAAACAAAATTATTTTGACACGAGAAATATAATTACACTGTAAATTAGAAGCCTGCCTCACTATTACTGTAATATAGTTGTATTATAAATCAAATCGTGATAATCCGTGGTCAACCAAGTTTTGATTATCGAGATTATCTTATTTTCTTATGTTCACTAATAAATGTCCATATCTATCGATTCTCATCCTCTTCTCAAATTTTCCTCATTTATTATTATGAGTTATAATTACGTATTGCTGTCTTGACGCAAAAGCCCGATGCAAACAAGCGATTTTCTATTCTTCTGCTATTACGTAACGGTAAAATTGATATTATATAACTACAAAATAAAAATGATAAGAGATATCAAATGTCAACATTAGTTTAGAAAAATATTAAGCCTCTGAACTCAATTTGTTTTCAATGTTGTTGCGCGTCTAGTTGTACTTCTTTTAAGATAAATTAAGTAAATTAATGTATAACGATAAAATCCAATATTTTTTAATCCAATATTTTTTGTAATTTTTTTTTTTATTAGTGTGATAATTTTCAAAACAATTTTATTTTTAAGCAAATTTGTATTGTCACCTCCAGCGTGACATTCGAATGGTTATATTGTAAAATGTATACATGTGTATTCCAAGAAAAATTGAGAGCTCTTACTTCATATGAAGAAGATTACATCTTCTTCGGTTTGGATTATCCGTTGGAGTCAATTTATTATAAGCTGTTTACCTCCCGTCTGTTAATTGAAGTTCTACTATATCTCAATATCCTATCTGATATTAAATTCTATCCTATTTCATCTTCATATAATTTTGTAAAGTTTATCGTATGAAAGACAGAGATAACATAAATAAATACAGGAATATCGCTTAAATTTTTGTTTTTTATGGTACACACGATGAAAGATTATCGACATTTTAAACTCTTATTAACTCCATGAAAAAAATTTTCAAAACTACGGTGGACTTAGTGATAAAAAAAAATGTTTTGGTGTCCAAAAATTTGCAAAAATTCTGAGAGAAAAAAAGTTTCTTCACCTGTCAATCCCTTTTAAAATGATGTGAAAATATTTCTGAAGAAACGAACGCAGTATCATTAAAGTAATACAAGTTTCACGTTTTAAAATAAGTACAAAATTGACAAATCTATGGTTTCTTGTTAAGAAGTTATAGCAGTTAAGTGTCGACAATTTTTCCACTCGGATTAGTGTTTCTTCTCTCTCACGGTCAATAAAAAATCCTTTTTCATAGAGAACGCTCAGATAAATTGAATACGATTCTATTTAAAAAAATCTCTCCCACCATTCGACCATGTGATGTACACATTTATATTATTAATAATAATTTTTACAAAGAGTGCACAATTTCCATTTTCTGTTTAATTACCAATAGCAATTTTCTTCCAATAGCTTCTACTTCAGTTTCATCTTTAGTACATTCATCTACATTGGCAACTACAGGTATTTATTCAATAATTTGATATGAAAATTTATTAAACACAAAACATAAAAATTTAACTTTATTAATTTCTAGAATAACAATATTAATTTCAGAATTAATAGCTAACTTTGAAATAGATTTTTAAAAAATTATTGCTTTGTCTACGTTAAGTCAATTAGGGCTTATATTAAGAATTTTATCATTAGGATTAAAAACATGTTTTTGATGACTTCAATCATTCTGTCGTTTCCAATTAAACGGAACACTATTTGAGGGTTAAGAGGATTTCGAAGTAATCAGTCTAAGACTGCGAAAGGTTGAAAATAATTTGTGTTAATACCTAAGCAGGTTGTTATTAAGGAGTTTCTTAAGCAATTTCCGATAAAGCCCCCCCGTCCCCTAAACGAAACTTTGCAATCCAGCCTTCAGGAGAGAAAGTAAAAATCAACTTTAATTATTCTTCCCCTTCTACCATTCACATCTGACGTGATTATCGCGTGTTTAATACGTCGCGATTAACTATAAACAAGAGTGAGAAAACGGCGTGTTTTTATGTGGCTATTAATTTATGCGTGTTTGAATAATGTGCGTGGTTTATGTACGGTTTAATAAAATTTCAACTTTAATGCTTCATCTAAGAAAACGAATAAAAATGGAAGATACAGAGCTTCACATTTTTTTAAATGTAACATCAATTATGTTATCAATGCTGGTAAGATGATTTTAAAATTGGTAAATATGTATAGGGTGGCTACTGAAAAACTGAAGAGTTGGAAGAGTCTATATTTGTGAGCAGGAAAATGGTGGTCACCTGAGGAATGTTGTTTTTCACACATAATACTGAAAAAAACATCCACTAATTATATTCACTTTTATCCAAATGAAATAATAAAAGATTGAAAAAACATGTGTTTGTAAAAGTTATTTTTGTTTTATATCGTTCAGTATTTCAGTGAGCACCCCTGTACAAACACATGTTTTTTTAAATTTTTTAATTATTTTATTTGGAAATATAATTAATGGATTTTTTTCAGTATTATGTATTTTTAATCTTCAAGGGATGCTCTACAAGAAAAGAAAATAAAAAAGATTGAAAATGAACAAGTTGTGCCTTTGCAAATCCTTCAGTTTTTCAGTAGCCACCCTGTACATCCAGAGTAAATAAAAACTCTACTTTAGAGTAAAATGATCGATGCATTTTGAAAGTAAAGACTTCAGTTATGCTGAAGTAAAGGCTTCACTTTGAAATGAATATAGATTTTGATCCACGAATTTTATGAAACTGATATTATTTTACAGAATTGTAACAGTTTAGATACATTACTGTCCAAATATTAATGTAAATGCTATAACATGTACACATAAGAAGAACAATCAAAGGTTCCTCATTAACTGTGACTTTCATTAGAATTGAAGGCATTTAAATAAATTAGTTATACGGTATAAAATACTGTTCAATTTATGTGAATTACTAGTACCTCAAATTGAGAAATATTTTAATTTTTCAATTCGAATGAAAAAAATCTCTATATCTTATTGTTAGAAGGAGAGAGGGATATATGATGATGAGATAAAAAATATTGGCTATCACTGGTCTGTAGACTCTGCGCAAGTTAATAATAGAGACATGTTTAAGCCTCAAATAACAAAAAAATTCTATGATTCAAGCATTATATAAATATCAGGTGTTTTCCTCTTTGTAAATTCAAATAGGTATTCCGAACATAATTTTATCTTCTGTACAGTTAATTGTTTTACAGGAAATAATCAATAGGAACTAGTAATTTTGAAGAATGGATCAATTGTCCTTCAACATGAAAAAGCGATTAGATGATTAATCTAATCGTCACATTGGGTGGTTAAAAATTTCATCTCTTCTTTTAAAAAAACGTAGGAATTATTTTAAAAAAACGTACTGAAATTTTTCTTCCCGAAGAATTGAATACATACTTACATGTGTATATTTTATAAGTACGCTTATTTTATAGTACTTTTATATAGCACGCTTATTTTATAATACTTTTATATAGTATTTTTATAAAGTACGAAGTATTTTATAAGTAAGCTTCATATTTTGTAAATACATTGTCTAGAAGGAAATCAAAAATAAAAATCGCGAACCTATCAGATATATATATATATATACAATAAAAATTAATACAAAATACTGGTAATAATGAAAATGTAATTATTTGGACAAAAATGTACATTTTCTTCACAGACTTTTAAGCTGTTGAAATAAATATATAT